CCCACCAGCCATGCTACCCACCACCAGCCACGTTGCCCCTCACCAGCCATGCTCCCCCAACCAGTCATGGTCCCTTCCACCAGCCATGCTCCCCCAACGAGTCATTGTCCCTCCCATCAGCCACACTCTCATCCACCAGCCACACTCCCCCCACCAGCCATGCTCCTACTCATCAGCCACACAGCCACACCACACACCTACTCACCAGTCATGTTCTTACCCACTGGCCATGCTGCTACAAACCAGCCACACTCCTCCCCACAAGCCACGCTCCTACCCGCCAGCCACACTCCTACTCACCAGCCACGTTCCTGCCCACCATCCACATTCTCACCCACCAGCCACGCTCCTACCCACCAGCCACACTCCTACCTACCAGCCGCATTCCTACCCACCAGCCACACTCGCACCCACCAGCCATACTCCTACCCACCAGCCACACTGCCACACCACATGCCTACTCACCAGCCACATTCTTACCCACCAGCCATGTTCCTGCCCACCAGCCATACTGCAGCACTCCTACCTCCAGCCACACTCTTACCCACCAGCCACGCTCCCACCCACCAGCCACACTCCTACCCACCAGCCACACTGCCATGAGTCCTGTGCTCATAGTACAGTTGTTTTGTGATTCAATAATTTTTGGAGATTTCTTTGGCAATAATTACTGCCCAATAATCAACCTATGGACAAAACCACATGCTGCTTCACCACGAAGAAGGGCTGGACAGTGGGAAGGCCATCGCTCCTGTCAGCTGCTCCCCGTCAGGCTCCGGCAGGAGGAGCAGCCGCAGCTCCCTCCCAACCATGTGCTGTGACATCAGCAGTTCCCACCCACGGCTGCCAAGACAGCCATAGCTGGGATTCCCATCTCCAGCTTCGGCAGCGTTCCCAAATCCTGCCTCACCATGCTGCCTGCGAAACCACAGAGCTGGGAGTGTCCCCTGTTGGCAGGCCCCATCCCAGCAGGGCTCCTCCCCCACCTTCCAGAGGAGGCAGCAGCAGCTGGGTAGGGCCCCGTCCGAGCGTTTGGAATCAGGCAATGCCAGCTCCCCATGGCCAGCTCCGTCTCACCATTTTCTCTGTGCTTTACAGTCAGTCCCCAGCAGCTCCTGAGCCAACCTCCTGTATTCAGTGTCCTCATGAGCACCTACTGTGGCTCAGTGCTCCTGAGCCAACCTCCTGTATTCAGTGTCCTCATGAGCACCTACCTTGAGTGGACCCTGACAGTCGGCCTCAAAGCTGCTTTACTTGGAAAGAGCCCTAGGAGGAGCTGTTTCACAGTAAGATTTCAAATAGAGTACGCGTCTCCCAAAGTGCACGGCATCTCAGCGTCCTAGAAACCAGGAACGCACCTGCCCGACAAGTCCGAATGAGCGGTCCAGACTCCTCTGGTCTGTGTATCTTCTGATTTTGTTATGCAGCCACCCCAACTCAGAGAGCCTGACTGCTGTGTCTCTCAAAGACCTACTTAGATTTGCCTAAAAAGTAAATGTATCAAGAGTTAAACATTAAAAATCAGTACTAGAGTTTTAATTAGTATTTTTCACAAGCACTTACGCTTTTCAAATTATAATCCTTAGGCTTCAAGACATAAAAGTTAAAACTAAGATCCCATCCCTAAAGGGAAGGAAATCACATCAGGTGCCAGCGTGACGGAAAACACCCTGAAGGGCAGAGCGAGCTCATTTCACAGCCCCTGCCATTGCACTGCAGTGCGGCAGAGACTGTCTGTGACCTCAGTCTCGCTGTGCAAGGGCTAAGAGACAGAGTGTGACCCACACCACAAGAAATGGGCATGGTAAAGGTAGGTTATGGAAAAAGAAAACAAAAGCAGATGAAGACCCCTGACCTGGAATCCTGCATCAATGCCAAAGATGCCAAGGGACCTCTGTCCTTGGGTGCCTCAGGCATCACACAGCAGGATGCAGAAATTGGCTATGGGGTGGCCCCATCAGTAGAGTCGAGGAAAGGAGGCACGCATTAATCTCAAAGGGTCCCCATAATAAAACTGCATGAGCCACAATGGACAGAAACATAAACCAAGATTCCACAGTGCAATTTTATCTCACACCCGATTCTGCAAAACCCCAATGCCACCTTATCAATCAACAGCTCACTATCTGGACTTCATGACATTATTTTTTGAATATTTTAAATTAGATTTTATGTTACCATACCTTTCCTTCTACTTTGTAACAATTTTCAGTGTTGTTCATTTTGATGTTTTTGCCATCTATGCCCTGGAAGACGTACAAAATGTCCCTTACCAGAGCTGCTTCTGTAACTTCCATAGTACCTGCAAAATCATTTTTTAAAGAGAGTAATTACTAGACAACACATTTTAAGACACAATAGATATTATGATACAATTAGCTTCAGATTAGATATTTGCCACCAAGATGCAATTTACTAACTCAATACATAAGCTCAAGATGAAAAAGAGAGTATGAGGTTAGAAAGAAACAAAGGCTTGCTGACAGGGGATGGAGACCGTGCCATTTCTTATCTACAGATCTCTTAAAAAATGACGAGCCTCTGTGGGAACCTAATACATAATCAAGGTAGCAGTACAAATCAATCTCAAAAGGATCAATTATTGAAAGATGGTGTTTGGAAAACTGGGTTTACTACAAAGTATACTAACCAGGGTTCCTCCCTAATACCACATAAAAGAAGTTAATAGTACAGAAAAGACACTTATGGTTTCAATAATTCCTTTGAACAAAAGCTAAGCCATAATTCAGGTATTAAGCCAAAATAAAAAACAGGAGGCAATGCCCAGAAATCCAAGACACCTGTGGGAGGCGAAACATACCTCCAGTATCTGGTCTGGGGATCAGGACTCTGAACCGCCCAGTGCCTGCCCCATGCCTAAGCCTGCCCCACCCAGATGCAGAGTGCATCTCCCAGGCATGGAACTTTCTATAAATATCCACTATGTCAGGTGGCTGAAAAGAACTGCTCAGATCTTACATATCAATATTGACTATTTTCCTCTGCTTATTCTACTCATTCCTAAGAGAAGGAAGTTGAAATACCCAACTCTAATTATAAGTTTGTTTTGCTTTCTAATTCTGTCAGTTTTGCTCTGTGTGTTCTGAGGGTCTGTCAGTAGGTGACTTTGGGTTAGGATTATTTCTTCCTAAACAACTGACTCATTATGAATACCCGCTCTACCATTGGTGCTACTCTTGATGTCTACTTAACACAGCCACCCATCTTTCTTTACTCTTTACAAAATTGCTATTTTTCCATCCATTTATTTTCAACTTTTTTTGTCCTTACATTTAAAATGTATTTCTTGTAAGCAAGCTGTAGCTGTCTGAATGATTTTTTTTTAAATCACAAGTCAATCACAAAAGGATCAATTATTGAAAGACGGTGCCTGGCACTTCAAAGAGAGTCACTGAGGAATTGCTCGATGTAATTTAATCACACTAAATTACATTTAATTACTAATATGTCTGAATTTAAAGTCGCCTTATTGCTGTATGTTTTAAACCTATTTATCCCACTGTTCTTTATTCCTTTACTTCACCTCCTGTTTCTTCCTCAAGTATATTTTTTAAGTTCATTTTATCTCTCAGTTTTGAAGCTATTGGTTAGGGATCAGGAGCCCCAGCAAACAAAAAAGCAGCAGGCAGAGAACAGCACCTGACTCAGTCTAGATGAGTCTCAGTCTAGAGGCTGCCATGCTGTGCCATGGACACACAGCTGTCAAACATGACATGAGTCGATGGCTGTGGACAGACAGACTGGACGCTAGAGCTATACACAGAGACAGGCAGCGTGGGGCAGAGGCTGGAGACTGCTGTGAGGGGCTGAGGCTGCGCCAGGATGATCCAGCTTTCAGATACTCCTCACCTTTGCATTCTACAAGTAATATCCAGAGTTATTTCAGAATCAGCAGATCATGAACCAATAGGGAAGCCCAATCCTCTATATCCAGGATACAGGACACTCATGTTTGAAACGCTGCTAACTGCAATGTTCTCAATAAAGAAACTCAAACTTCCTTTTGTAATCTAGCAGGGCTTTAAAACCCTCAGGTATTCATTTCACCATCAAGCAATTCCTCAATGACTCTATTCGATGTGCCAGACACTGTGCTAAGCACTGGCACCATTAATGAAACAGACATAGCCCCACTGTGGACTTAAGACTTTGGTAGAAGAAGATGATTTTTACCAGGGGCCCTAACCCAGCCTTAAAGACTTTCCCAGGGAGAAAGACAGGACGAAAACTGACAGAGGGAATGTGATGAGGAACAGCAAAGAAGAGAGATGTGGACGGAGGAGAACACGGGGACCACCAGCCAAGAAGCAGACTATGCTGGGAGGAAGAAGCCCAGGTGTCCTGGGGTGAAAGCCAAACTCCCCAAGGCGCTGCAGACCGCCAGGGACTCTGGACTTCACTGTAAGAACAAACGGAAACCACTGGAAGGTTTGAGGTGGGGATCCTGGGCCGTATTTTAAAATAAGGAAAGGCCGAATTCCAAATGTTCAGAGAAAAGCTGTATTAACACAGTCCTTACTCACCACCCGTATCCCCTTCTCTCCTGGACCTTGTCATGTTTCGAGACACAGCATTTGGGACACCTTTTGAGGTAGTGGCTTGTGAAGAAGGCTGATTTGCAGTTAAAGTCCATGCAAGTCGTGACCCCAACTGCTGTCGAAGGCAATCTCCTACTCCTGGAGCTTGATGAGACTGTCTAAAAAAAGGAAGAAACATTTATTATCTTCACTGAAGAGACAAAAGTGTCCCTAGAAACTTCTCTCATATTACTATCATGAATTACACAAATTCATAAATCTGAGATAGCTGATACCATGACTTGACCCTAATCGAATATATTAATAACAATCAGTCAGTCCCAAGTCCCTTGAACTTGGGACGCTTGGCCTAGCGTTCAGACCCAACACAGCGGTGGAAAAATCATCTTACTGCTGATATCTTATATATATATATATTTCTTACCATTAATATCAAAATGTATTTCGCTCTTCTTTATAACACTTAACATACCTTACCCACCTATAGCTACTTTGAAATTCTCTACTTATTTTAACTTCAAAATCAGCAACTCTCATTCACCCCCACATACTGAGCAGAGGAAACGAGTCATCTGGAACACTGCCCCAGGGGCCTGTCCTCACCTGTCTTCAACCTTCGGGGTGCTCACTATGAAAAGCACTGTAATTTTCAACTAACTTCTAATATTTACACACATATAAAATCTAAAGTAAATGCATATTCAAGGTCAAGATGGCTTTTCAGCAATGTTGAGACTACGTCGAAGTTATTTTTTTTGAAAAATATACAAACCTCATAGCTGATTTCTATTCTATGAGCATAAGTTTTGACAGCTGCAACAAAATATCACTTCCTGGGACTGCAAAACACAGCAATGAGAATCTCAGCTGCACCACGGTTTCCAGGTGCCAGAGTTTGGAATTAGAACTGGTACAATACTTGGGGGCAGGGGGCGTTCATCCATTATCCACTCATGAAGTAAGGAGAAGAGGAAAGAACTAAAACAGTTCTTATTTTATTCCATTTTCACCAGGAGAAAAGTCAACAATATTCACTAAAATTATGTCTTTGGGCATAGTTCTAAATTTAAGAGGAAGATTCTAAAAGACTGTTTCATTTCAAAGTTCTCTATACAGATTTTTAATAGGATAACAATAATTACTTCAAATTCTAAGGTATTAATGAGAATGCCAGTTAATTTTTTTAGCTGGACCTTAAATTCTAGATGAAATGTGTCAAGTGTATTTTTAAATGCTTTACGTTTTCTTTATAGAACACTAGACCCCACTGATAATCCACACTCTGTTTTTAAGTATCTTGAACATAATTTTATAACTCACAAAATGACTTATAATTCTATTACACTCATATGGAAAACAACATGCTGAATCCTTGGTCACTGTTTTTCTGGAAAAATATCTATTCTTTGATAATCCACCTTAATGTGATTTCCAGGAATCAACTATATAGGAAGAATGTATTTAAAAACAAGAAAAACAAAGTTCTAGGCATTAATGACAGTGGCACCCGCTTGATTCTCAACTGTAAATCCTGTATTTCCTGAAAACGTGCTTCGACCACGTACATAACGCCTTCGCTGTGCATTCCTGCATTTCATCATCTTAATTCATGTGCACTAAAAGGTCACAATCCTTGAAGATCTCAGCACTTGAGGAAAGTTCAACCTTATTTTATTTTATTTAACAATTTACTAAAGAATCCAATGAGGAAAAAAACATACATCAGTGAAGAGGCCACTGGTCCCCAAGAGATCAACCTGAGAACACAGTCAGAGAACCTCCAGAGGAAGGGTTTGCACGCAGCACTTCCAGCTCCTTCATGATGGGCAGGCACTTCAGTGACAGGTGAGAGCAGCCAGAACTTTACAGTCAGCTCCGTCAATTACCAAGTGGAAAGAACTCCTGTTGTATCACAGCTCTGAAGAGGAGTAATACTCTGAGACAGAGTGCATCAGACACAGTGCCCAGAACACTGCCTGGCACAAGAGGCCCCACTGATACTGTTGGTGAACACTGATGCCCGGTGAACAGCCTGCAGGCATCTCTGTTTCTACCATATAGAGAATCTGTACATGTCGGCGTGGCCTTACCCCGGGAGGAGAGACTGTGGCGCAGGCGTGGGGCCACTGAGGGCACACAGGCCGATGCTGCTGATGCCGCTGCTGCCCACACTGCCGGAGCTCTGGGCTGACTGGGTACTCCGATCCTGGTAGCTCAGGGGGAGGGTCTGCGGCCTGGCATAGTAGTAAGGGGTTGAGTGGGCATCTCTTGGTAAGGCCTGAGCAAATAACGTAGCATAGCTAGAAACCTGAAAAGAGAAACGCACTAAGAACAGAGACAGGAGATCACAGAACAGTCTTCCCGGACCTAGTAAGGTCCTTTACATTCAGATTTGCCTCCTTTTTCTGTAATTGGATTTGGATTCCATCTTAATAAATCAGATGTTACGCTTTTAAAATATGCCTGAATTGATAAAGTTTTAGAACATTTTCTGAACTCCAACAACCACTATACTGATAACTAAACATTCTGATTCAAACAAACTAAAACTTAAATAATTTTCTAAAGTTAGGCATTATGAAATAATGATTGCTCTCTCTATATTCGTATCTATGTGATTTACATTTATATTAACATATAATGATTGCTGAGACGAAGCCTTCAGCGACAAACAGAACTCTTTGACCCACAGCTTCAACCTCTTTGGCTCCCATGTCTCTGGCCGGTGAGTACTTTATTATACCAGACTCTGAGATGCAGAGCACCCAATTCGCTCTGACATACTGCAGGGGACAGACGCTGAGCCCGGGGATGAGAGGGTTTCACTGGCACATAAGTACAGAATGCTCATAACTAAAAGCAAGAAAAACTCCTAAAGGGTCTTTTAGTTCACAAAGAGTTACCTATCAGCGCTGATATTAATAACTTCACAACGTAAACATTTTGAAAACTGACAATTTATTCTGTAATCACCCATTGTCATGTCTGAATAACAAAATTCTGAAAAACATCTTCAGGAAGCTGCACACTGACTAAAAATGCCCTTAAAAAGAAAAAGGAAAAGAAATCTCTGGACCTTCTATGACCAGACAAGTCTGTTGCTTTCCTACACTATTTTCTTAGCTGCAGAAGCTGTTTCCTATCAAAGTCAGCCAGGGTGTCCCGACAGACACAGAGTTGCGAAGGCAAAGCCACCTACCTTGCTTGGCTGCCTGCGTGGGTCCTCACTGAGGCTCAGCAAGAGGTAGAGTATTGACCATTTATTTTTCAGAACTCCCTGTTTAGAAAAAAGTTAATATTAAAAGAACAATTTTATACTACTCTCCAGTCTTACTTTCCTCTTCCCTGAACTATATTTCCAAACCAGAAACGCACTTTAAAATTCATAGCAACATCAAATCCAACTGCTCATAAGTATTTTCAACAGTGCCACCCAACCAAAGCTGGAAGCAAATGTCTTTATGCAACCAACACCCTTGGGTCTTTCATCCCCCTATTAACTAGCTCTACAGTCCCCAAAAGACAAGTTTTTCAAACTACCTTAATCCTGAATAGCCGTATTGTCTCCCCTGAAATAATCCTTTTAATGTCTCCAAAACCATAATTATGAAACAAAGCCATCATAAAAATATGTGAATTATTTTTTCATTTATCAACATCCCATTTACGCCACAAGCACAAGTTAGTCTCATTATTGTGTGTACCTAAAGTCAAGATGTGGACAGGAGCAATGGCTCACGCCTGTAATCCCAACACTTTGAGAGGCCAAAGCAGGTGGATCACTTGAGGTTAGGAGAGTTCAAGACCAGCCTGGCCAACATGGTGAAACCCCATTGCTACTAAAAATACAAAATTAGCCAGGCGTGGTATCACGCACCTATAGTCCCAGCTACTCAGGAGGCTGAGACACGAGAATCGCTTGAACACAGGAGGCAGAGGTTGCAGTGAGCTCAGATCGCACCACTGCAAACCAGCCTGGGTGACAGAGTGAGACTCCGTCTCAGAAAAAAGAGATGTGGGTCTGAAGCACTTAGCTGTCAAGATCACTAACCCACAGGTTTCTATCCAAGGGTTACACACAGATTTCATTCATTTCCAAATGTGTGTCACACCAGTCTGATTCGCAAACGTAACAGCAGCCAAACCTCAGTCGTTCTACCTCGAACTTCCATGGCATTACCCTCTATTCATACAGCCTTACCCTCTGCACGCACAGGCTACAATATACAAGTACCTTTACTGACAAAACAAACTACGGGATGATTACCTAAATTACATAAATTCTCCATTATATAAAACATTCTCTGAATGTTTAAGAGTAAGCTCATCCCAGGTATTTACATTACCGTCTAACTTAAAAAACTGATGGACATAGACTTTTTCAGAAACTCAACTAATTTCCCAGCCTGGGCCACAAGGATGAGAAAGAGACCCAGCCCTGATGGAGTGTATCTCATCACAGGCAACGGACAAGTGAGCAGATGCAATGTGACAAATGGCACTTCACAGCTCACGAAAGGGCTCCCAGGGGAGACTCGCATCTCCTAGAAAGCTGGGCCGTGCAGGAGGGACAGGAACAGTGAACACGGCAACCTGGCAAAGGCCAGGAGTCAGGAGGGAAACTGACAACACAATGAGGCCTTGACGCTGCACCAAGAAACTTGGATGTGGCGCTGAAGACAACAGGAGGAAGCCTCTGAAGGACGTCCTGGGGAGAGGCACCATCACTGCGACAACAGGAGGAAGCCCCTGAAGGACGTCCTGGGGAGAGGCACCATCACTGCACAAGCGGTGATGAACTGGCTGGAGGGGACAGCCTGAGAGGGAGAGCACTGTCATCTGGAGGGAGATGCGAGCAGCTGATTGCAGTGCAGTGAGCTGAGTGTGTGCTCAGTCACGTGTCCCTGGTGAGTCCCTGCAAGCCGGCATCAAGGGCCCGAGAGGCCCAGGCACTCAGGCCCAGGACCAAGGGGCCAAGCTACTGCCTATATTTAGCTCTTTCCACACATTAAACCCTGTCATCATCACAACCACGCTGTGACAGGGCTTATTCTCTTCATGCCACAAATGAGAGAACGAAGGACAGCAAACCTCAGTAACTCACCCAAATCACTGAACTACATGCAGGGTTTACAGCCAGGTCTGCCTGACTCCAGAAGGGACGAAGGAGAGATATGCCTGGGGATGACACTCAGGTTCTCATGTGGGGCAACATGAATGGTGCTGTCATTCACCAAAAGAGAGCACACAGAAGAAAGAGCAGGCTGTGTGTGCGTGGATGCGAATGGATGCCCAGAGGGGTAGGACAAGGGGTCACACTCCGTTCAGCTCAGAGGATGCCAAGCTGTGAGTCACTGTGGGAGTTTCCAGGGAAGTCTCCGAGTAAAAATGACCAGCAGGGAAAGATGGCAAGAAATGTTCTATAAGAAAGTGCTGCGTTAAAATCTCAGATTTTATTTCAGCAAAGATATATTTGAGGGTGAAAGGTGGAGAAATTTCAAAAATGAACAAAATTATGTACCAAAAGCTTGGCAAGTAACATATTTAAAGGAGGAGGCAGCATCACTTTTTACTATTTTTTTTCCCATTTGTGTCTTGAGAAAATACATTTTTTACTATTAAAAAAAAAAAAAAAAAAACACCCAGGATCTCTTCAGTCTGCTGAACAGCATTTGATGTGAAGGTGTGGATGGAAACAGGGAAACCACAGGAGACAGTGAGGCAGTCTGGGAACACCACCAGCTACACTGTCAGCCAGGAGCCACTAGGGAACGCCAGCAGCCAGGAGCCACTAGGGAACAGCACCAGCCAGGAGCCACTAGGGAACGCCACCAGTCAGGAGCCACTAGGGAACACCAACAGTCAGGAGCCACTAGGGAACGCCACCAGCCAGGAGCCACTAGGGAAC